ATGATTTAGGAGCCAAAAGAATCCCGTTCTTTCCTGTAAAGGTATTTTCTTGCTTGCAGTAACAGAAGTATTAATGATTTGTGTGATAGGTGGTGGTCTTAGTAAATCAAGTATTGGAGTGCTAGGGGATTTTTCAGTTTGTCAGATGATGAAGTGGGATTTTTCCCACTCTTATGTTCCTGTGGCAGAACCTGTACAGTCAGCCTGACTTTCTGCACTGGTAACAAGTTTTAGGCCCTGTGGGAAGGGGTGGAAAAAAAAATATGCTTGACAATTGTCTGGGAGGAGCACAAACCAGCTGCTCTTACCTGAGGAGAGAAGCTTGATGGGAGCCAAGAATTGAGTAAGCATGTGCTAGTCTGAACCTTCCTGGAGGGAAGGCAGGCCAGCTCCAGACATCCCGGGTTCACCCGAGAGCCATCAGTAGCGGTGGGCTGGACTGTGGCAGGAGATACTTGACTCTCAGGTGATGTCAGCTATGATCAGAGAGCAGGTAGGTTAATAGTGCTTGAGAGAGCAAGCTCGGCCCTATTGCTGTAGCTGCTTTTTCATGTTTGAAATAGTGATTTTTGTCTCTACTGCCCTAGATAATTAGCTTCTGTAATGACCCATCTTAAATGGAGCCACTGAAAGAATTGCTTTGGAAAGTGAAGCTGGGCAGTTGCAGCATTACGCCAAGTCAAGAGGGCCAGAAATGTTTTTATCTGACAAAGCTGACGTTTTCACACAGGTACAAAGCATCAGGAGCTGTGGTATCTTTAATTGTACTTTTGGGATTACATGCCAGAGGGAATGATATAGTCTCTTAATTTCACTCCAAGAAATTTTAAGTGACTTAGGAATGAGTTGTCTGTCTTGGTTCTGAAACCAACAAAAAAATTAGAGCTCCCTGCTGCTCCATGTTGTGACACTTGATGACTTGCTCTGTCTGCAACCCACCCTAACAAATTTCTTTGTTTTGATGAAGAACAGGGAACTGTAACATCTATAGTTTTGTCACTTTGTGATAATGGGGAGAGATGAGCTACTGGCAGGTGCAATGCCACAATGAAAAAGTGCTGCTTTGCTTTCTCTGAATCTTATAATGCAGAGATTCGGATGCGTTGCTTTCCTGGTCTTGTTTTAAATCAGATATGTAAGAGCTGATGGGGCAAGTCTTGCTTATCTTCTTCAGGCAAAGCCCCCCCAAATTGACTTGCTTTTTATCAGTGTGGATCACAAATTGTGCTGCTGTTTCTAACACCCCAGGCCGCCATTCTGTGCAAAAAGGAGCCCTGCGTCTGAGGGAATGCAACCCCAGTGTGTTCTGGAGTGGCATTTTTCCACCAAGGTCATTGATTTTATTCCTGGAGAGGTCGCAGATTTTTTTCATAGTTTAAGCAGAAAATAGTTTTTCATGGCAGCTCTGGCTTGTGTATCTCCTATACCTTCTGTAGCTGTTCACCATGATAGATAAGAACTTGCTCCACAATATTCTGCTGTGGTTTCTTGCTGTTCTGCATATCTGGAGAAGTACTCCATTTAATCTCGAGTAGTAGAGGTCATACTTAGTTTTAAGCACTTGGTTTGAAGAGCTAAAGAGCACGCATATAAGTCTTGCAGAGGGGAGAGTTTGTGAGTGGCAGGTGTCCTGAAGCAGCAATATGCTTGGGTTGTGTGTACCTTTTTGTGTGTTTTCTTTTTACTGAGCTTTCACTGAGGCAGAAATATGCCCAATGCATAAAACCTTGAGGGGATCAGGCCATGTAATGCAGAAAAGCCACTAACGTAGCTGGGAAGGCTTATGTGGAACCCAACTGTAAACTGTTTAATGTGGCTCTCAAACCATGGTTGGTGAAACCACTAATGCAACACGGCCTTTTGTACAGATACTGACTTATTTATGTATAATGATACGATGCACATATCCTGAGGTATGTTCCTGTATTGCAGACAGCTAAAAATAAGTGTATATGATAGTTCTCAGAGGTGTATCTTAACAGTTGCCATCTTCTGCAAAGAAAACTCATGATTGTGTGTCTTCAGTGGCCCCTGTTTAAAATAAGGACTTGATTTGGGTTGAACCCTAGTTGTGCAAAACCCCATTAAGGGTGCTTCTCTTAATCTTTCTTAGAGGTGAGTTGTTTTGCAGGTGTTAAATAAGCAGACTGACAGGTCCTCAGATGCATGAGGCTGCCTCTTAAGGAATGTAAAAGACTTTTCAGCTGGTCAGCTACACCAATGCAGCTGACTGAAAGCTGCACCAAGTAATGATCAGTGGCTGTCACATACTTGGTGTACTGAATGGCAGTAAATCTTAACGAGGCCTGTTACAATCAATATAAGAACAAAAGCTGAGCATTAAGTGTTACATAAATGTAAATTTTCCAAATCTGTCTAGAGAATGTTTTTCTGACATATGGAAAAGTTGCACGTACTTATAGTGGTGTATTCTGTAGTAAATTTTTCCCTTCATCTGGAAGAAGATTGAACTTACACCAAAGAAATGCCAGTCTTGTAAGTAAGAGCTATACCGGTGTAACTGCTTTTGCCATTAGGCAAGAGCTAGAAAAGTCTGGCTTTGTCTGGGAATGAGACACACCCTGGCCTGGGGAGCACTTGCCCTCCCGTCTCCCTTCCCTTTCCCAGCCTGAAAGATTTTGTTCTGAGACACTTTCAAGCTTCCCCTCCTCCCCAAAGTCCCCGCTGTTTCACACAGCTTGACTTCTTGCACGCTTTTGTGTCCTTTTCCCCTATTCCCATGCAAACACTGAAATGTAATTATTTTTTTATTATTATTCTTAGTAGAGAGGAAATGTGTAGCTGGTTTTTAGTATGGAATGCTAAGATTTACAGACTCCACAATGCCTGGCAAGTGGTCTGTCTTAAATTGTAGTGTTTGTAAGGACTAATTAAGCATGTTTCTTCCACTGAGAAGCTTCGCAAAACAGCTTTGACTGTAGTTTAGCTTGTGAGCCTTTTGTACAGCTGTGGAAAGCATAAGAACGTGCAACAGAACACACTTTGCGGTATAGGTGTTAACTCTGTGCCCTGCTGTGGTAAAGGGGTTTGCGTGGCTAAAAGAGATGCCGCAGAATAACCTGACTGTTATTTCGTGAGGTGAGGGAACCCTTTTCTTCCAAAACTTCGATTCTGGGCCCTGCGCGTTGCTGCGAGCTGCGTTACCACAGCATGGGCTGCTCTGAAAACTGGCACTGCTGTGGGTGCGGGTCTCACCCATCGCTTCTGTCATGGCGGTGGCCCTTTCCACGCGTGCGAAGGGGGATGCTTTGTCTGTGCCGGTACCAGCTGTTAGCATAGACTTAAAAATACATTTTTTAGGCTTTTTTTTTTTTTTTTCTTCCTGTAAGGGATGAAGCTGTCGGAATTACGCGGCTGAGAAACGCCACTGCACACATGTGACTGAAGGCAAGCGCTCCCTCTTCCCTCCCCCCCCCGCC